CATCACCAGGAGTGTTTCTCCCTTCATTAAGGAGCTTCTTTCAGACATGAGGAGAGCTGTTTTGGTGGTAGCAGTCTCTCCTCCGTGCTGGTCTGTTTGCTGCTGGGTGTTTTTGGTTTATTTAAACTTGGTAACTTGAACTTAACGTTGGTAAAGCTACTGTTAGCATCTTCGCTAACAGCTTCTTGCGTTGGGATAAGCCGTTACGTTTTGGTTTAGAGTTCATCTTTTTTGTGGTGTAGATCTCCCTTTTATTACATTTAGAGTGTTGTGGGTTTTCGGTTTAGTGTAAAATATCACCTGAGTTTGGTTTAACCCGTAAGACCACTCGCCTCACGCACATAAGTGACCAAAACAAAGCAGCATGGAGACACTCCATCTTCTACCACCTCTCAGGCAGCAGCCTGCACTCCCAAGTTCTACATGTCACCAGAACATAACCAACCGCAACACAATAAACGCAGTGTTACACAAAATGGAAGGCCTGTAGTGTTTATTCTCTTACAGTAAGAATTTATCAATTTTTTTGAGGAATTTATTTGAGATTTTCTGGTTTTTGTTAATTGTGCAATAGAAAAATAATCATTAGATTAATTTTCTAAATAGTCATTAGAATAGTCGACTATTCGATAAAATAATCGTCAGAATAATCGTTTTAAAAATAATCGTTTACCCCCAGCCCTATTATCAGCTGTAGGTCACACAGGTCACTGATTCAGTTCTTTTGTACATTATGACCATCAGTTGCCAATTTCTTCTCACTATACCATTCTGGATGTTTAACTACAAAGCATTTTATTGAAGAGACTTTTTGAAATCAACATGGAAAACATTAAAGGTGGACACTAAATTTTACACCATTCACCTTCCATAAGAAGTGTTGAAATAAAGTTTGGAAATTCAGGCAAATTGTGGCATACAAGATAGATGATGAGTTCATTCTTCGTTTGCAGTGATGAGATTGCTTCTTTATATTTTCCTTCTCACAGTCTCCATTACTGCCTTTTTTATTGCTCTACATCCAGTGAAGATATTTCTTATTGAGAACATGTTAGATGAATAGACTATTGGTTTTATAATTATTTTTCTTTTTAAAGAACGCAGTGAAGCAGAGGACCTAAATGACACCATTACTCTGGACCTTGACCCTGCTGTGTCAGAGGAAACATCAACGCAAACTATTCATCCACCTTCCTCAACATCCACCTCTTGCTATCATTCCAGCTCATGGGTTTCAGACTTTCAGATTCCTTGGCAAAGATTTCCATTTAGACTGTCACAGGCAATCACCAGTGGGGTGAGAGCTCATCCAGAAGACAGGAGGAGTATGGTCAGAATTGTTGTGGAGGCCATGCAAGTTCACTGCAAAACTCCTAAACGCTCAGCTTGTGAAGAGATTGCTAAGATCATTGTAAATACACATCCACAAACATTTGCAGATTTAACTGACAAAGGAGAAAGACTAGGTTCTGGCCATTATTCATTACTGAGAAGCATCAAATGTAGAGTTGAGCACGTTAACGGGGATAATGTAACACACAGATTACGTTGACCAAAGAGAACCAGGAATGAGGAAGACTGCAGTCCAGAGAGAGATGAGACTTCAAAAGTGGTTCGGCTCCTTGTTGATAGCTATGGTTTTATCAATTGGCATCCAGTTCAGCTACCTGAGGGGGAAACTCAAGCTTCTTTGGAAGAAAAAAAGAATAGATTGTTAGCAATTTTCAGTTCTCAAGGCCCCGAAGCTGTGGAAAGACCTGAGGTAGAGGATCTTCTGCTCCTCACATACATTTCTCAGCGGCAGCTCATCAACAGCTGTCCCTCCGTTTCATTAGCTGAAATTCATGAGCAATGGCCTTTCTTGTTTACACGGAAATGTTTGTCTAGCCACTTTGAAAGACTTACAGGTATCGAAATCTGTGAACGTTTGAGTCAGGCCCTCATTACCAAAGGCAGGAGAATACTCAACTATTTTTCCAGCCAGAAGCTCAAATGGAACCTTGGTATTAGAAATTTCATTCAGGAGATAGAAGATGAAGGAGTTTTAACCAACAACAAGGTCGGCACAGCAGCCATACTTCTCATGATGAAGTACTACAATGAAGATGAAGACTCCCTTTTCCTTTTGGCAGATGTACGTATTTTTTTCTCCAACAATTCTAGAACAAATGCTGTTTATTTATTTATTTAATTTTCACATAGAATGTTTTGGTTTATTTTCTTTCAGGAAATCTCTACCAGGATGTCCCTGGAAGCAGAGGGAAATCTGCCTGTCACACCAAGACTAATAATGCTTGGTGAGCTTTTATCTTTTTGTTCCTTATACATTTTGCTCTCAATTTAAGAGGGCTTTCTCTGGAAAAGGAGGGCAAAACGATAACCTAGCAGCAGCCAAATCTATATACAGCCTCGCCCCTTTTCACGTCTCCACATTTCGATTTGAAACCTCTGCCCCAGACAGTGTTTGGAAAGAGGGATGGCCATCTGCTAGAAAACTTTGAGCTGGTTGGAAGATGCCGGCTAGTGTCCGTCTACTGGTTACCATGGCATGTTGCTAGGGCTGGGGGTAAACGATTATTTTTAAAACGATTATTCTGACGATTATTTTATCGAATAGTCGACTATTCTAATGACTATTTAGAAAATTAATCTAATGATTATTTTTCTATTGCACAATTAACAAAAACCAGAAAATCTCAAATAAATTCCTCAAAAAAATTGATAAATTCTTACTGTAAGAGAATAAACACTACAGGCCTTCCATTTTGTATAACACTGCTTTTATTGTGTTGTGGTTGGTTATGTTCTGGTGACATGTAGAACTTGGGAGTGCAGGCTGCTGCCTGAGAGGTGGTAGAAGATGGAGTGTCTCCATGCTGCTTTGTTTTGGTCACTTATGTGCGTGAGGCAAGTGGTGTTACGACCCTTCCTGGGGAGTTTGGCTCGTGTGCAAAAAGGAAGGGACAATAACGGGATTTAAAAGTTAAAATGATGACCAGGTTTATTTACAACTACAAAAACATAAATCTTTCTATCCACAGGTTGGGAATAATAAAACTAATTCTGCCTGTGGGGAATTAAAACAAAAGTACAAATAACTAGGGATGTCTCACTGGACAAAGATTACTGGGTTCTGGACCAAAATAAGGATCTCTAAAAGTCCAAACTCTAAACTGGGCGGTTAAACCAAACTCAAGGTGATATTTTAAACTAAACTGAAAACCCACAACACTCTAAATGTAATAAAAGGGAGATCTGCATCACAAAAAAGATTAACTCTAAACCAAAACGTAACAGCTTATCCAAACGCAAGAAGCTACTAGCGAAAATGCTAACAGTAGCTTTACCAACAATAAGTTCAAGTTACCAAGTTTAAATAAACCAAAAACACCCAGCAGCAAACAGACCAGCATGGAGGAGAGACTGCTACCACCAAAACAGCTCTCCTAATGTCTGAAAGAAGCTCCTTAATGAAGGGAGAAACGCTCCCGGTGATTTTCTACATCTGCGGTAGAGACGAAGCAGCGCATCTGACCCCGGAAGTTGTTGTCCGTTGCCGGGAGACGAAGGCGGGCAAAACAGGAAAATAATCTAGTAGTGGACGGACATTGTTCCGGGTCTTCGGTATTTGGCGGAGATGTTAGTGAAGGTGGAGAAGAGGGCGAACTAGAGGAAAAACAGGCAGATTCCTCCTCTATTTACAAACTCCTGGGGATGCAACAAGTGGGCGTGGTGCGTCGACTACCGGATCTGACGTCGACAAATTTTTAGAATCGAGCCGTCGACGTCGTCGAGGCTTCGCTACAGCCCTACATGTTGCATAATGTGTTTCTCTTACAGGGAGTGCAGATTTATTAGGCAAGTTGTATTTTTGAGGAATATTTTTATTATTGAACAACAACCGTGTTCTCAATGAACCCAAAAACTCCTTAATATCAAAGCTGAATGTTTTTGGAAGTAGTTTTTAGTTTGTTTTTAGTTTTAGCTATTTTAGGGGGATATCTGTGTGTGCAGGTGACTATTACTGTGCATAATTATTAGGTAACTTAACAAAAAACAAAAATATACCCATTTCAATTATTTGTTTTTACCAGTGAAACCAATATAACATCTCCACATTCCCAAATATACATTTATGACATTCAAAAACAATACAAAAACAAATCAGCGACCAGTATAGCCACCTTTCTTTGCAAGGACACTCAAAAGCCTGCCATCCATGGATTCTGTCAGTGTTTTGATCTGTTCACCATCAACATTGCGTGCAGCAGCAGCCACAGCCTCCCAGACACTGTTCAGAGAGGTGTACTGTTCTCCCTCCTTGTAAATCTCACATTTGATGATGGACCACAGGTTCTCAATGGGGTTCAGATCAGGTGAACAAGGAGGCCATGTCATTAGTTTTTCTTCTTTTATACCCTTTCTTGCCAGCCACGCTGTGGAGTACTTGGACGCGTGTGATGGAGCATTGTCCTGCATGAAAATCATGTTTTTCTTGAAGGATGCAGACTTCTTCCTGTACCACTGCTTGAAGAAGGCGTCTTCCAGAAACTGGCAGTAGGACTGGGAGTTGAGCTTGACTCCATCCTCAACCCGAAAAGGCCCCACAAGCTCATCTTTGATGAAACCAGCCCAAACTAGTACTCCACCTCCACCTTGCTGACGTCTGAGTCAGACTGGAGCTCTCTGCCCTTTACCAATCCAGCCACGGGCCCATCCATCTGGCCCATCAAGACTCACTCTCATTTCATCAGTCCATAAAACCTTAGAAAAATCAGTCTTGAGAGATTTCTTGGCCCAGTCTTGACGTTTCAGCTTGTGTGTCTTGTTCAGTGGTGGTCGTCTTTCAGCTTTTCTCACCTTGGCCATGTCTCTGAGTATTGCACACCTTGTGCTTTTGGGCACTCCAGTGATGTTGCAGCTCTGAAATATGGCCAAACTGGTGGCAAGTGGCATCTTGGCAGCTGTATGCTTGACTTTTCTCAGTTCATGAGCAGTTATTTTGCGCCTTGGTTTTTCCACACGCTTCTTGCGACCCTGTTGACTATTTTGAATGAAACACTTGATTGTTCGATGATCACGCTTCAGAAGCTTTGCAATTTTAAGACTGCTGCATCCCTCTGCAAGATATCTCACTATTCTTGACTTTTCTGAGCCTGTCAAGTCCTTCTTTTGACCCATTTTGCCAAAGGAAAGGAAGGTGCCTAATAATTATGCACACCTGATATAGGGTGTTGATGTCATTAGACCACACCCCTTCTCATTACAGAGATGCACATCACCTAATATGCTTAATTGGTAGTAGGCTTTCCAGCCTATACAGCTTGGAGTAAGACAACATGCATGAAGAGGATGATGTGGACAAAATACTCATTTGCCTAATAATTCTGCACTCCCTGTATTTATTTAGGTAGGAGTTTGTTGACTGCCACCTGCTGGATGGTGAGTGCAGAAAGGCACATAATCTTTGAACTGCAACCAGCAAACTGCTTTGCTGATGCACTGTCAGTATTCTTTGGGTCATTTTATGTCCTGAATCTGGAATACCAGGAGGCAGCATGTGCAACATTGGAGTTAATTCAAAGGTATGTCATAACATTTATATGATCAGTGCTATGATGAATGAACTATCCCCAAGTTAGTCGTCATTTTCCTACAAACCCAGGGTTCTTGAATTATACTGATTTATATCCTTAAGATTTTTTGTTAGAATTAACCCCGAAGAAGGGACAAAATGTACATCCAAATCTGGCACAAGCAGGAAGACTGGGACAAGTGTGAAGCGGAAGGTTGTCCACATTAATCCTCGTGTCACAACTTTTCTCCAAAGGCCGACAGAATTTCAGTGGAAAACCTCAAACTAGGTAGCACAGTTTTCATTTTTCTAAACTTGATTGTAATACAGTGCATAAATTATGCAAAGCAGGCAAGGTGTTAAAGTGTAGCTTGTTGCTTTTTGGAACATACCTGTCTCCACAGATCACTCATGGCCCAAGTTGTCTCGACAAGCTAAGAAGAATGGTCAACCTCTCTCCCCATGTTCCAAGAAACTGGCTGTTAAATATATTTGTTTTTGTATGACGCTTGTTGTTTTTCTTACCTTTGTCTTCCAAATATTTAAAAAAAAAAACACCATAATTTTGTATTATCTCTCCCTGGGGAAACTGAATCACAGGCAATTTATTGGTATGTTTTTCTGTTTTAATGGAAGAAATCAAGTAATAAAAAAAAAGATAATCCAGTGCATTTTGTTTACATCTTGATTTTAAATATATCCAACAATCACACAAACAAGTGTGCAGGTGTGTGTGTGTGCGCGCACACAAGTATAAACCTTTTATTTTGGGAGCCTTTATTTTATTACAGTATGTTACCATTTACTCATATCTTAGTAAAATATGACATGAAAAAGGTAAATTACTGCTCACAAGAGCACAGTACCCTCTGACAGCGTTGACTATTTTCAGTAGCAAAAGTGTATGTTTACGGTAAATCACTGGAAAAGGTATTGCAGCATACCTTGAAATGAGCTTACGGTAACATACCATAAACATACAGCACAACACATATTTATTAATCACAGTAAAATGTTGCGTTATTGATGTAATTTTCTTGTGAAATATATTACGGTATTTTACTGGCAACAGCATCTCACCACCATGCAGTCAGAGGGTTTTTTACAGCAATAAAACATACAGTATAATTCTGGGATCAACACTAAGTGGTAAGTTACCGTTAACCATGCATCACGGTATCATGCTGGCAACAGTGTTGCCAGTTTATTACCGTAAAGTGGATAGGTAAAATCTAACAGTGTAGGAAATATGAGTGTTTGTTTCTTATGTTGTTTATTTCACATAAGACAGGACAGTAAGTCATGTAAACTAATCATAACATTAATGAAAAATAAGATAATCTGTTAGTGATCAGCTGTTGCTCAGGTTTAGTATGAACTGTAAACCTAGTTTTCCTGCAGCTCCTCATCCAGTCTTTCCTCCTTTATTTAGATGGAACATCCAAATTTAAAGAAGGCTCAGAATGGGACCCTGATCCTCAAAGCCTCAGATGAGGCAAAGGCCGTGGGACCCCAGAGGCAGGGGTACAGGGCCAAGCAGCCAGAGGAGGTGGAGGCAAGGGCCCACGTCGCCAGCGAGGGTAGCGATGTCAACAACGCCACCGTCGTGCTGAGCCGGTGGAAGGTCCAGTTTGGGACGTACCAGGGCAAGACTTTCCACTGGCTCCTGCAGAACGACGTGGGCTACGCCGTGATGGTGGTGGCTTCTCACCAGAAGGAGCGAGAGGGGACAGGCTCTCAGTCCCCTCTGATGGCCAACAAGGTGGGGTCTCTCAGCTCCCCTCCTCTGTGCATAACAGAGTTTGATCATTCTAACCTTCACTTTGTGAACACACAGGACGCCTTCACCCGTTACTCCTTGGCGTACCCGGAATTTGCTGAGGCAGTCCGGTTCCGGCAGGCGTTTGAGGAGGCGCGGGTGAAATCCCTCCAGCCTGGTCAGGAGGGACAGGCCCTTGTTGGCTTTGGGGACTTCAAGTTTGAGAGCCAGCAGAGCCTGTACGACTCCAAGGACCCCAAAACGATCCGGTGGTTACTTTTATTAATAATGATGATGATATTATTTATAATAACAGTAATAATCCACTTAGTTTGTAAGTTCCTTTCTAGACAGCCATGGTCTCCCACCAATAGAGTCAAAACACAACAACAACTTACAAGTTAGTCTGAATGAACTTCTGTGTCTCACCTGTACAGGTTTGTCAACTACCTAAGAAGGACGGCGCCAGCTCCAGGCTCGCAGATGGAGAACGCCGTCCGCTACGTGAGGAAGAGGGACAGACAGAGGGAGGGCGCTACCACTGCTGCTGCCGCCGCCACCTCCTCCACCCCAGTGGCTTCCTCCTCCTCCAGCTGCAGCAGAGTGTCTGTCTCTCCTTCCTACCAGGGGTCGAAGGCTGCATCTCAGTATGTTTTCTGTCTATTTGATCTCTGATGGTTTACAACATTTTAAAATAGCATTCTGTTAAACAAACACTGTCACCTTTCAGATTTGCAGCCTTTGTGTCTGGGCAGCTTTCTGTCTGCGGTGGAAATGCAGGCAAAACTAAAAAAGATGGTGGCCCCTAAGCCTGCATTTCCACGTAAGTCTGTTTAATGATCTCATTTGTATTCTTTTACTCAAGGTCAGCACATTGAGTGTTTCACACTCACGCTTTCTGGGGCAGAAGCCTGATGTTTGATGATTTGATTTCCAGCCTCCTTCAGACCAGCTCGTCCACCCACAGCATCTGGGGAGCCCAGTGATGGAGAGCTGGTCCAGGCGGTAGTTGACCAAGGGCAACGTAAGTGACAGAAATGTGCTCATTTCATATTTTGTTAGTGACAGTCAGATGTGAACAGATGTTGACTCGTTTCTCATTCTTCTCTACTTCATTAAAACTTGTGTAATGACAGATGAACTGGAAGTGTCAGTAAGTTTGGGTTCAGTTACACTTTGCTTGGTTGTTGGTAACTCACAAGTAGCAACCTGCTGCCTCTAACTAGTCTCCATCACTGATGCCATGGTCTGTAGATGTCACCTTTCTCTGTCTTGCCTAATCACCCTCCCAAACACACCTGGTGCTCATTAATCATCAGATCCTCGTCCGCTCTCCTCGTCTCTAGCTGCTTCCTGCTTTGGCTTCTGGTGTCTGTGCAGCTCACAGTTCAACTGAATTGTTACTAGTCACTAACTCGTGGCCCTTGTGCTTCAGCTTCTGGAGTACAGGCACCTCTCCTGCTCCCTCCTTCTCCTTCTCCGCCGCCTCCTGTGACAACAAAAAAACCATCTGCGAGACGGGAGGAACCCACAGACAAGGAACTCCTGAAGGCCACGCAAGACTCTCCAGACCTCCTTGCTGCAGTCCTCCCTCCCCCACCTCCTGCTGCCAGTTCTAAGGTGAGGCATCAGACATGAATTCAATTCAAAGATGCTTTATTAATCCCAGAGGGAGTTTCAGTGCACACAATTCAATGGCTGTGTCTCAATTCAGGGTCTGCATCCTACGTCGGCCAGATTCGTCGGCCGGTTACGTCACAGCGCCGCGACTAGGCCTGTCCCAATTCGAAGACTCATTCAAATGCGGTCGACGAATCCGGCCTTCTTTTCGCCTGAATGAAGGATGGGTCCGGTGTATCCTGCAATAGGTAGCATTTCCCAAGGTGCCTTGCGGGCCGGCCGGCAGAAAAGCTTTTACAAACAATGGCGGACAGTGAAGCGGGAGCTGTTGGAGAGGATTGCGCGTATAAATGTAAGTATAAACTTGAAAACTGTTAGGGTAAGGGCTTTTTTTTTTTGATACACGAACATTTTTAGTTAGAAATGTTACAGTAGAAGTGCTTGTATTGCGGTCTTGGCTCGTATGTTCGGCCGCTCGGTGTCGCACTTTTCCCGCTACGTTTTCACCCTGATTTTAATATTTTAGGGACTAAAGACAAAACCAGGGAATTCATTAAGCTTCGAGCGGAGATGGACCACATGTTTACCGGAGCTAAGCATTCGGCGTCTGTGGCATGGAGGTATCTCATATTTTAAAAAAAAATTCGTTTGAGTTCAGTTTTTTCTGTGAAAACATGAAAGGAATAACCCGTTGTCCTCTTTTTCTCTATCTTTTCTCTTCCTGTTTATTTTTCTTACATGTTAGGAGTATTCTGGAGAAAACGTCCATCCAGGGGAAGGTGACCCCCATCCAGGCAAAAAAAAAGGGATAATTTAAAGAAAAAATTTAAAGTATGTAGATGTGTGTGGAAAAATATAACATGAATACATGCTAAATCTAAAAAATTTAAACAGGTTTGTTGGTATTTGTGTAAAATGACATAATTTTATTTTTTTTTTTACCTAGGATTGCAAGTATCCAGGGTCAGGAGAGGGGGTTAGTGGGAAGCCCACTGCTGCTACTTGGCCCTGGTTTGACCTCATGGATGAGTTATTAGGACAGAGACCCTCAATCAGTCCGCCTGTCCTAATTGCCTCTATCCGTGAGGACACTCCAGGGCCAAGTACAGCAGTGGATGAAAGGGAGGAGAGTGAGGATGAAGATGGTCAGCCAGGAAGAAGTCAGCAGGGTGCAAGAAAAAGGAGAAGGTGACAGCGATGACCAGCTTCTGGAGCTCATCAGGGAGGACATGAGGCTGCAGAGGGAGGCAGAGCAGCAGAGGGCACAGGAGAGAAGGGAGACTTTTGGGAAGCTTTTTAGTTTGCTTGAAAAAATGATAAATAAAGATTAACCATATCTAATAAATGATATAATCAACTAAATAAAATCAGTTCTTTATTAAACTGTTGAAGTTTATTTTTGTTTACAAATGTGAATTGTTTAATATTACAGGGTATCCACTGGGTCTTGAAAAGTCTTAAAAGGTGATCAATCGGTTTGGGTCAAATTAAGACCCTTAGAAAGTATTAAACACTGTTATCACATCTTTGCTCAGGCTCAGCTTTGCAAACTATTTTCTGAATTAGCTCTCCAACAGTCCCAAAAACATTATTTTAGTGTGTGATTTTGATCATTTTAATTAAAAAAAACCAAACATAAAACTTTGCCTATCGTGGGTGCATTTGAATTGCTTCTAAAAGCAATATTAAAATATTTAAAATATTGAGAATGTCTTGAAAAAGTATTATAATGAACTTGAAGATTCTTTTCTATAACGTATTGTTAAATGTAATAAACAAATAATGTAATATGGAAAATAATGCAGAAATGGATCAAACTTAATAGTTTTATTTACAAAAATGTAGATCCAACATGGTTGAACATATATACACAAAATACTTAAGGGAAACATACAAAATAAGAGAAAAATCTAATATTTGGTGCAGGATTAACCTGAGTGTCCTGTTCCAAGACCGTTTCAAAAACTTTTCAGCAGGAAGTCTCTAACAGGGCTGCTGGATCTGCTGAACAGATGAATGTCATGGATTGAGTGCTGGAGCTGAGACCCGTGGCTGCACTTTTCAGGTTGACAAGTGAAGCATCCTACTGGGTGGTCTGCAGAGGGCTTCAAGATGCGTCTTGACTGTCCACTGCATCGTTCACCGGTTTGCAGGGCTGGCTGTCGACGGCTGCTACGTGACCAAGACTGAAACATAGACAAATAGGAGATAATAAATACAAAATCTACATACTATTGGTGAAATGTTAGGCTATTTAAAAAAAAAGAAAATTCATTCATTTGTTACCTGTTAACAGTAGTTATGGTCCAGTGGAGCCTCCTCCAGGGCAGACAACTCACAGCACAGCTGACATCCTCCAAACCAGCCTCTCCCTCATCATCTCCACCATCCTCCTCAGGCTGATCCTCCGCCACCACAAAGTCTCCAGCACTGAGGCAGATGTTGTGGAGGATGGCACAAGCGGTAACAACCTGTAATACATAAATTAATTAATTTAAATTTATTTCAAAGAAATGTGAAAAGCAACATTTCCTACACTTACGTGAGGCACAAAGGTGTGGTGGACCTCCAGCGCTTGCAGGAAGATGGCTCTGAACCTGGTTTTCATCATTCCAAAAGCACGCTCTATCACAGAGCATGCTTTGGAATGATGGCTGTTAAAGCGCTGGGCAGCCACACCTTGTTTCCCACGTTTGTAGGGAGTGATGAGTGGGAGTGGGCTTTGCAGGCATGGGTACCCACCATCTGCGCCCACCCATCAGCGCCTTGGGCTTCCTGACAGGGTTGCGGAAGGCGCTTTATAAATAAAGCTTTGATTGATTGATTGATTGATCTGCGAGGATGAAGTGCCCTGGAGGAGGGTAGACTGACTGCCTGTACAGCGGGCTGTGGCGGAGCACCCTGGAGTCGTGCACCGACCCCGGCCAGCCCACGTAGGTGTCAATGAAGCGGCCCTGATGGTCACACACAGCCTGCAGGATGATAGAGGGGAACAGTTTCCTGTTCCTGTAGCAGTGACCATCAGGGCCGCTTGGAGGCTTGATCTTGATGTGGCAGCCGTCGATGGCACCTGCAGCTTTAACAAAAGCTCTGTGCCGTGCCAGCCCTGCAAACCCCTGGGACACCACCTCCAGGTCTTCAGGGGTCTTTGGAAGGTAGATGACCTGGTGGCGAATGGCCACAACCTCCTCCGTGACTCTGTGGACGATGCGGTGGACAGTCGAACGAGGTATCCCGAACACTCTGGAGACCACCCTGTAAGATGCTCCGCTTGCCAACCAGAAAAGAAACACCAGGGTCTCAATTGTGGCACCCCAACCATGACGCCGATCTTGGTTCAGCAGATTCAGCAGCACTGAAAGGGACTCCCTGCTCACACGAAAGTCTGGTCTCGGATCTTGCTTGTTGAAAAACGGTCCAGGACTGGGACACTCAGGTTAATCCTGCAGTATCTGGGTCTAGTCTGGTTAAAGAGAAATACAGAACAAATAAAGTTTTATTTCAAAGCTGTAATTGTAAATGTGATAATATTTTACATATTCATGGTATTCTTTCAAAATTCTAAAAACTTAACTTTTGAACAATGAAGACCAAAAGATCAGTTATGTTTTGAAAGTGCTGTCCGTAATTAAGTTTTGTAAGTCATATAACAAGTTTTTATTTTTGTTCACTAGATGTCCTTCTACAGGTAATGTAATGTGCTCTTTCTGCTAACAGTTATTTGTTATTTAATGATATCCATATTTTAGAATGATTTTTTATTTAAGCCATTTTCACATTTTTTTCTTCTTACTTGAGTAACTCTTTTGGTGGGGAGCTTTTGTAGTTGAGTAAGTATAAAATATTTGAAGTTGTATTTGAGTATAAGGTTCAAATTTAATACGGAGTCTGTTTACAACCTGTAAAAAGTTGCTAAAACTATCCAGTAAGCTACCTATAGCCGATAGGTAAAGCCTACTTAACAGAAACTACTTAACCTGTTCATTGTTGCTTCTCAGCCTGAGCAATAGAAAATGCCTTCGCCGTCGATACATCTCTTCTAACTCCTCCAGAAGCAAGGAAATTATTAAAAAGCTCAATAATGCTTCGAGCTCCACCATTTTAAGTTCCTTCTCCCTTCTGCTCAGCGGTTCCACGGTTGCTAGGCGACGGAACGTTCGCCGAGGGAGAGGCGGGAATTCATGAAGGCTAGGCCTGTCCAAATTCACAGCCGTTAACATCCGGTCTACCCGGCCGACGGAGGACCCAGCCCACGTCGGCGGGGTGGGCTGGGTCCTTCGAAGGATGCAGACCCTGAATTGAGACACAGCCTATATGCATAGACACATGACAAGAATTGGAGACTGCAACCCGAGTCGCCTTTCTTACTCTTCTGCTTTGTTTTCTCTCTATCTCTAGTTGCTGCCTGAGTTCTGGCCCTCCTCCAGTCTTGCTCTTCATCGCCTTCTTCCACTCCTCTACAGACTTTCTGCCAACAGATGAACAGTAGGACACACCTGCAATGCGGGTGTGTGCTGGAACAGGTACTCCACCCCGATGAGCTCACCTGAGATTTTATGGAAATGTAAACGGTTCAAAGCCCCTTCTTAGCAAAGTATTGGTGCACAGTGTCATTAAAAATCACGAGTAAATAAAACGTGTTTCTCTGTTCCTCTACCTGTGTAAGCAGCAGGCTTGGTGAAGTCCTTAACCATCTGATGACCAAGCACCCTTTGGCTCTTCTGGTTAAGGGCGTGCCTGAGGTGGCCACTGTAGGACAGCAGAAGCGCCTCGTGTCCCTCAGCTGCCGCTGCGCGGTCCTCGTTCCACCTGACCAGTCCATCAATCAGGAACGCCTGGAAGTACATGGCACTGGCCGACGTTCCTGCATGATTAGATGAGAAAATCAGCTTAAGCTTTTACTGACACCTGAAAATGAACAGTTTACAGAAATAAAACAGATTTCTTGACAGACTCATGTTTCTCACCTGGGATGAAGCGGTTCAGGTGGAGATGGAAGGACTAGGGAAGTGGAGCCCCTCGCACAGCGATAGACGGGCAGTCTGACCCCTCCTTTTTGCAGACTGCCCGTCTGGGTGTACAGCTGCACGCCAGGGGTGTCCCTGATGCAGCCGAGGTGGCGCCTCTGCGTGTCCCAGATGTCCTGGATACGGAGAGCGTCTAGCAACGGGATGTTCAAAGTGTTGTGTCCTGCGGGCCCTCTGAAGGTGTCAAGGAGGTTTTGGATGAGGAGCATGGACTCCTTGGCTCCACGCGTCCTCCTGCGGCAGTGGAGCCTCCATTCCTCCTTGCTGATGCTGATCCGCCGGATCACATCAGCGTCTGTCAGGTTGACCATCCTGTGCGTCCCCTCCAGCTTGGACCGCTTGGCTCCCACGAGACGGCAAGCATCTTCGGCGTCCACCTCGAAGAATCAGTAAGACAGCTGCCTCATGAAGGTGGAATACAGCTCGTGGCTTTCTGTGGTGACACCTGATGCGAAGCGGCGCATCAAATGCCAGATGTCCAGCCTAACTATGAGCTGTTCTCACTCCTGCGACAGAGGTTAGTCATTGGAGTGTTGCACACCATGTTTTACCTGCACCACAGTCAAGATCAGAACCCCAAAAACATTCACTGCTCTATAAATTGTCTTTTACAGAAATTTATTTGGATGTCTGATTGTTTTAAATTTTTCAGAAAGACATTGTGTAGAAATTCAGGCGACCTGGTGATCCATTAAAGTAATTCACAACAAAGTAATGAATCATTGCTATGAAAAATTAAATAAACAACTAAATAAGTCAGTCAGCAACGATGCAAGTTTATACCGGAAATAAGGCAGCCGTCTTGGACACGCCGTCCTGTTTGCAGCAGTCGCGGTCCACGTAGATGAGCTGGGGGGCAGGTACCTCGGCTAATCGGTACCGCCTCATCAGCCCGGCCGCCATCTTGGACAGACCCTCGGAGCCCTCGCAGAAAGTGAGGACGCTCATGAGGACTTGGCCGTGCTCGTTACCTACGTTGGTAGCCCAGGCGGCCGTGCCAGAGGCGGCACCTGCGAGCTTCTTCGTCACCTGCACACAGAGAACTTCCTGCGTAAAGACCAGCAGAACTGTTGTTCACAAGCAGCAAGTAAACACAACGCGGTGACCGACCTCCTTTGTGGAATCCATCTTTAGGATGGATCCGAAGGTGGACGTGATCCTGGCCTTGTACTCGTCCAGCCGCGTCAGCACGTCGTAACCGTAAACGGTCAGCAGCCAGACGGGTGAGGGCACAGGGGGCATCTGGGGAGGTGGTGCGATCTGCCCCCTCGCGGTACCCAAGGCCAGGAACTGCTCGCAGACGCCGAGGTACTGAATCGCTCTCCGCATCCAGGCGTCGGAATGCTGCTCCCGCAGGGTGTTGCACAGCTGAGTGGCACTGTTGCCCAGAGTGCGAGATCTCAGCATAGCAACCACCCTCTGGTCACAGGACAGCCTGCGTGAACAAAACAAACATTACCACATTAAACTCTGCTGGACACACCCGCACGAGCACACAGTTTCACTTCTCTCATACTTGTACGCTAGTACAGCTGGAAACTGGCAGCTGTAGGTGGGGGGCAGCTGCCTTACGATGCCCTGTGACCACCCTCCGACCTTCTTCTTATATCGACGGCACTCCAGGTACTCAGTGGCCATGAGATACCAGCCGTCGATGTCCAGGACCCTCCGGATGGTCCTGTAGAGCCCAGCCTTTATCAGGATGCCGCTGCACAAAGGCTGGGGTTATGTCAGCTGCAGGTGCCACATCCTGTGAGGCATCCACAGGAAGAGCCGACATGCAAAGAAGGGGTCGGGAGAGGCGGGAGGCTGAGTGTAGACCGCCCGGGGCTGGGGAGGGTACCACCAGGGACTGAGCTCCGTGATGAGACGCGGCCTCCCAGCACGGTCCCTGGTGAACAGCACCCGGCCGATCCAGTCCTGCTGTTCTGCACTCAGAGCTGCCTGCCAGGACTCAGGCAGCAAATAGAGAGGGAAAACAAAGCAGCAGAGTGAGAAAGGCGACTCGGGTTGCAGTCACCAATTCTTGTCATGTGTCTATGCCCATATATGTCTGCTCTCAGAATTGTGTACTGAAACTAATTTCCCTCTGGGATTAATGAAGTTTCTTTGAATTGAATTAATGTCTGATGCCTCACCTTAGAGCTGGCAGCAGGAGGTGGGGGAGGGAGGACTGCAGCAGGGAGCGTTGGAGATTCCTGCGTGGCCTCCAGGAGTTCCTCATCTGTCGGTTCCTCCCGTCCCGCAGATGGTTTTTTTGCAGCCACAGGAGGCGGCGGAGAAGGAGGAGGAGGAGGGAGCAGGAGAGGTGCCTGTACTCCAGAGGCTGAAGCACAAGGGCCACGAGTTAGTGACTAGTAACAATTCAGTTGAACTGTGAGCTGCACAGACACCACAAGTCAAAGCAGGAAGCAGCTAGAGAGACGAGGATCTGACGATTAATGAGCACCAGGTGTCTGACTGTTACCAACAAAATATGAAATGAGCACATTTCTGTCACTTACGTTGCCCTTGGTCAACTACCGCCTGGACCAGCTCTTCATCACTGGGCTCCCCAGATGCTGTGGGTGGACGAGCTGGTCTGAAGGAGGCTGGAAATCAAATCATCAAACATCAGGCTTCTGCCCCAGAAAGCGTGAGTGTGAAACACTCAATGTGCTGACCTTGAGTACAAGAATACAAACGAGATCATTAAACAGACTTACGTGGAAATGCAGGCTTAGGGGCCACCATCTTTTTCAGTTTTGCCTGCATTTCCACCGCAGACAGAGAACGCCGCCCAGACACAAAGGCTGCAAATCTGAAAGGTGACAGTGTTTGTTTAACAGAATGTTATTTTAAAATGTTGTAAACCATCAGAGATCAAATAGACAGAAAACATACTGAGATGCAGCCTTCGGCCCCTGGTAAGAAGGAGAGACAGACACTCTGCTGCAGCTGGAGGAGGATGCAGCCACTGGGGTAGAGGTGGTGGCGGCAGCAGCGGTAGCGCCCTCCCTCTGTCTGTCCCTCTTCCTCACGTAGCGGACGGCGTTCTCCATCTGCGAGCCTGGAGCTGGCGTCATCCTCCTTAGGTAGTTGACAAACCTGTACAGGTGAGACACAGAAGTTCATTCAGACTAACTTGTAAGTTGTTGTTGTGTTTTGACTCTATTGGTGGGAGACCATGGCTGTCTAGAAAGGAACTTACAAACTAAGTGGATTATTACTGTTATTATAAATAATGCCATCATCATCATTATTAATAAAAGTAACCACCGGATCGTTTTGGGGTCCTTGGAGTCGTACAGGCTCTGCAGGCTCTCAAACTTAAAGTCCCCAAAGCCAACAAGGGCCAGTCCCTCCTGACCAGGCTGGAGGGATTTCACCCGCGCCTCCTCAAACGCCTGCCGGAACCGCACCGCCTCAGCAAATTCCGGGTACGCCAAGGAGTAACGGGTGAAGGCGTCCTGTGTATTCACAAAGTGAAGGTTAGAATGATCAAACTCTGTTATGCACAGAGGAGGGGAGCTGAGAGATCCCACCTTGTTGGCCATCAGAGGGGACTGAGAGCCTGTCCTCTCTCGCTCCTTCTGGTGAGAAGCCACCACCATCACGGCATAGCCCACGTCGTTCTGCAGGAGCCAGTGGAAAGTCTTGCCCTGGTAGGTCCCAAACTGGACCTTCCACCGGCTTAGCACGAGGGTGGCGTTGTTGACATCACCACCCTCGCTGGCGACGTGGGCCCTGGCCTCCGCCTCCACCTCCTCTGGCTGCTTGGCCCTGTACCCCTGCCTCTGGGGTCCCACGGCCTTTGCCTCATCTGAGGCCCTGAGGATCAGGGTCCCATTGTTGGCCTTTATAAAAGTTGGATGTTCCATCTAAATAAAGGAGCAAAAGACTGGATGAGAAGCTGCAGGAAAACCAGGTTTACAGTTCATACAAAACCTGAGCAACTGCTGATCAGTAACAGATTATCTTATTTTTCATTAATGTTCTCATTAGTTTACATGACGTGCTGTCCTGTCTTATGTGAAATAAACAACATAAGAAACAAACAAACACATTTTCTAGGTAGCCAAAAGCTAATTAGCAAACCCAGCTATTGGCTGGATTTTCTATAAGTGAAGATAAAGCTAATCAGAGCACAAACATGCACGATCGTGATGATCAACAACATGGTTGAATAAACACTTACACATGGTTTTTAATGCAATCAGGATGGTGTTCATTTAAAAAATTCCATAAATACAAGCATATATTGGTTAACAGTAGGGTAATGCAGCAGCATGCTAGCTAAAATAATGTTAGCATTTCACGGCATTACGGTAAAAACAAAGTCCTGAACCGTCTTAATCCCCCTAAACGAGCTGTAATGCTTTTAATTTTTGTAAGTTTTTTTTATTATAAATAAAAAGTATAAAAGATAGCTACTTCTCACCTCTCAGATCTGGGAGCAGAGCAATGTGGAGCAATGTGCAGCAATGTGGAGCAATGGCGGACGCTCGGAATTTCCAGCTCTCTGTTGCGGCCGGTGTTGTGCCATAAATCGACTCGCTGCCAAAAAATGATTAGCCACTAAAGAAAGGAAGAGGAAAAAAATAAAATCGCTGGAGAATTGTTTATTTACATTTATACATTCATACAGGGCGCCATTTTACATTGTTTATTTATTTTTTAGTATCAAAGCTGTAACATAATGAAAGCCAGTTCTTACCACAAACCATCTTTCAATCGCAAATGTTGCAAAAAGTATTAATATATCCTCATTGTGAACGTTTAAGACAAATAGCAACACTTAAAACAACTTCCGAACTGGAAAAAACTAAGCTAATCATTTTTTGGCAGTGAGTCGATTTATGGCACAACACCGGCAAAAACGTCAGTCTCAAGAAATGGAACAAATCCGGCCATTTGATTGGTCAACCTCATGGCACAAATGGAACAAATGCAGCGAGAGGAACTGCCCCTCCTAGGCGCAAGGATGACATGCAAATTCGTGAAGCGTTCCTCATTTTTTTTAAAAACCAACTGGTATGAAGCAGTTAGGGGCGTGTCCCGCTGCTCAGTTCCAACATTTGACCAATCAAATAACTGGGTTGTTCTAGTTTTGAGAAGCACGTGCTTTCAGCATCTAATCAGAGAGAGCTGGATTGTTTCAACTCTGAAATAGATCCTCTTTCACTCCGAGCTTGCGTTCCTCCGCTACTGAACTCACTGAGACGTACAATTGTTACTTAAAAAACAATTAGACTTTTAACATGTTAAAAAAAAACAGTTTGTTGTCTTACGAGCGATGTTTAAGATATAGTAGTATTTTCTTCTGGCCTAACGAGGAGGAGAGTAGTGTGAAATGATCTTTCACCACATCCCCAGTTGGCACAAAGTTCTCTATTTTCTGTATTCTGCGTGTAAAAGCATGTTTTTAACTGGTATTTCCCTGTTTATGTTCTTTGTTTAGTGTTATATGTTATACTGATATGCTCATTGGGAAAATTATTCCACAATTGTACATCTGATGCCTGTACAGTACTCACACCATTCCTTTTCACTCTGTAGACTTCCAGAACAAGTCAGAGACCTGTCATCTGCAGAAAGACTCAGACGACTCTGCAGTCTGTGGAGTCGATGAAGAAACCCAATATTGAACCGGTGACACTGCTGAACTCAAACATATTTGTGATGTTCTCTAACGTGTAATAAATGTGGCTTGTATAAAATCCACTCCACCGCCTCTCAGCAGCAGAGAGTTTCTCCTCACATGTGTGACAAGAGCTTTTCGCTCCACGTTTGCTGGCTGTTTACCTGTGAACCACACCTGGTTTGTTGTTGGGGTTTTTGTCCTGTCACACTATTTCTAACCTTCATCCTCAGTGGTTTATTAATTTCCTCACCCAAGCTCCTGTTTTCCTGTAAACTCCTGCAAAAATGTCCTATCCACACCTGAAAAGGACGGGAGATTGGATGCGTCGAGGAGCTGAGGGACCAAGCTCCTTTCTTCAGTAAATAAATGATCCGACAAGAATACCAACAATCTAAATGTGTTAAACAACAACCTGCTGTGGACATGTGAAGGGAGGAACTTCACAATAAAAGCTCACTGCAAGAATGTAAACACTTTTATTTGAAGTCATGAGCCCCAAAGATAATTGAGAGAATGTCTATGCCTAGGTCGACGTCATTCATAGAGGATAGCGGAGGCTACTGCTGCAGCTGCTGCTGGCGTGCAGGCTCCACCATCAAAGACAGTCCGCCTGCAGCAGATGTGGTCAGCCCAAGAGGCTGGACACTGGCCACACGTTGCAGGTGTGTCCTACTGCACATCTGTTGGCGGAAAGTCTGTAGAGGAGTGGAGGAAGGAGATGTAGAATAATAGTGCAGGGAGATTGGATGTGTCGAGGAGCTGAGGGACCAAGACAGAAAAACTGGCTTCACTTTTTTGGATTTTTCTTTTTAAAGACTTTTTGAGACTTTTTTTTTAAATTTCATATATATATATATAAACGAAAAGCACTTTAAATCTTTGAATGTTTTTATGATCTTGGACACAGATACATTTATTACATATGTTTTATAACATCACAAATATATTTCAACACAGATGCATTTTTTCATATATATTCTATAATTTTCCATGTGTATTATCACAAATATATTTCACAGCTCAGTGGTTCTTCATCACAATTATAATTAAATTTAAAGTGGTAATTGTGAAAAATTATTTACATAATAATTAGTGTTATTATGCAGATTTCGCATAAATTTCCACTTTTGTATTCGCACGGAGCGGGAATCGAACCTACGCACATCGACTCCCGGACAAAACAGTTAAAAAAAACAACAAGGAGAAGAATGAGCAACAAGCGCTGTTTCGCGAGGGGCAGTTATTGTTCCATTTGTGCCATAAGGAAGACCAATCAAATGGCCGTATTTGTTCCATTTTTTGAGACTGACATTTTTGCCGCCGAATCAGAGAGCTGGATTGTCACAGCCTGTCCGAGCGATCCGCCAT